TGTTTCTAGGAAGAAGTTGCTGCGGCTGAGGTCGAAGAGGTTGCTGCCTGTGTTCTCCTCAAGGATTTTGATGGCTTCCTTTCTCACATTGAGGTCTTTCATCCATTTTGAGTCTATTTTTGTGTGTGGTGTAAGGAATTGGTCCAGTTTCATTTTTCTGCACGTGGCTGTCCAATTTTCCCAACACCATTTGTTGAAGAGACTGACTTTTTTCCACTGGACATTCTTTCCTGCTTTGTCAAAGGTTACTTGACCACAGAGTTGACGATCTATTTCTGGGCTCTCTATTCTGTTCCATTAATCTATATGTCTGTTTTTGTACCCCTATCATATTGTCTTGATGATGACAGCTTTGTAATAAAGCTTGAAGTCTGGAATTGTGATGCCACAAACTTTGGCTTTCTTTTTTTTTTTTTTTTTAAAGATTCTATTTATTTATTTGACATACAGAAATCACAAGTAGGCAGAGAGGCAGGCAGAGAGAGAGAAGGGGAAGCAGGCTCCCTACCGAGCAGAGAGCCTGATGCGGGACTCGATCCCAGGACCCTGAGATCATGACCTGAGCCGAAAGCAGAGGCTTAACCCACTGAGCCACCCAAGTGTCCCTGGCTTTCTTTTTTAACATTCCTCTGGCTATATGAGGTCTTTTCTAGTTCCATATAAATTTTAGGATTACTTCTTCCATTTCTTTGAAAAAAAAAATGGATTGTATTTTGATGGGGATTGCATTAAACATGTAGATTGCTTTAGGTAGCATAGACATTTTCACAATATTTGTTCTTCCAATCCATGAGCATGGAATATTTTTCCATTTCTTTTTGTCTTTCTCAATTTCTTTCATGAGTACTTTATAGTTTTCTGAGTACAGATTCTTTGCCTCTTTGGTTAGGTTTATTCCTAGGTATCTTATGGTTTTGGGTGCAATTATAAATGGAATAGACTCCTTAATTTCTCCTTTTTCTGTCTTGTTGTTGGTGTGTAAAAATGCAACTGATTTCTGTGCATTGATTTTATATCCTGACACTTTACTGAATTCCTGTATGAGTTCTAGCAGATTTGGAGTGGAGTCTTTTGGGTTTTCCACATAAAGTATCAATCATCTGCAAAGAGTGATAGTTTGACTTCTTCTTTGCCAATGTGGATGCCTTTTATTTCTTTTTGTTGTCTGATTGATGAGGCTAGGACTTCTATTACTATGTTGAATAGGAGTCACACCAATGTCTTTCAATTACAAACTTTGTCAGCAGCCCTTTGAGGCAGAGGTGTTAAGAATTCTCTTGACAAGACTGCCACCTAGTGGATCACCTTAAATTCCACCATTTACAATTTGGTATTTAAACACCTTAAATACCGCATATAATCTAATAAAAGGCAAGAGTCTTTTCTAAAAAGATAAATATGAATCGCTTCTCAGCCTTTTGGCTGAGACCAAGCGCAAAAAGGACAAATCTGAGTATTTACAAAATTTCCCATATCACAGGAAATTCAGTCTGTCATGCTGAATTAAGTATTGTTTGTGGAAGAACCCTTAGCTAAAGCTATCTCAGTCAGTTTTAGTTTGATATTTATAGAGGTGATCAGATAAAATGTGTTTTAAAAAAATGGTGGGGGCGGGGCAAAGAAACTTAGCATGGGTTTAATAATTACTGCTGGATAAATGAACCCAGAGTTGTTAGACAGTATCATCAAGATCAATTATATTAACATAAAAGCAATATAGTAAGTGGTTATATGTGGAATTCATTTAAAAAAAAATAATTCTAATGCTATACAAATAGGCACCTGTGGCTTAGCAACAATAGCAACATATACTGCTCAAAAAAGTGCTTTATCTTAGATAACTTAAGCAGATGTTGAGATAATGAGCTCTGGAAAAATGCCTCAAAATTATTCAGAAAGTATAATGAGGATGAAGACAATGGTTTGAAGATTACGGAGTCTGAAAAGTTGGCTTCTGAATATGAGGGTGGGCAAAAAGCCCCATTTCTACGTTATTATTTCCTGTAATATATTCAGAAAGCATGTGTAAATGTTTAAGCTAATGAAGAAAACATTCTAAGTAGGCATTCAACTGTTTTACTCATATTCATCAAGGTTTCAAGTTGACCAAAGTTGGAGCTTCTCATTAGGAACAGGAAGGACTGCCTCAAATACAAGCATAGCACAAGCCTCTGTTATAGAGACATAATATGCCATTAATCATAAAACTCCAAAATTTTTCAATAATGATTATTAAAAGTTAAATTACTCAACACCTAATACTTCCTTATGCATGTTACTACAGACGTATTAAATGGAAAGCTGCCTTCTGTTATGCCAGAAAGAAGTTCTGGGGGCATGTCTTACAGATGCAGGATGTGAAGGGACTCCCAGTGGCAAATTCTGGACAATATGAACACCAAAATAATTAAGTTCTGTAGTGAATTATAAAGTACTGTGGGGAGGAGAGAAATTCAGGAGTCTATACCAATAACAAATAGATAAGTGGAGATCTTTGGCTTACATCAGAATGCCAAGGGCTGACTGCCAAATCTAGAGAAAGTACAGGAGATGGAAAATTGTAATTTTGCATTCCTCACAGTAAAGACTGGATCAGACAAGATCAGACAAGAATCATGAATGAATGCTAACTTAAGAAGAAAATTTTGATGAGAAGCAGGATATTTTCATATATCTCCCCACAGACTGCTTACTAGTTGCAAGGGAGGGGGGGGAAAGAAGGAATTACAGCAAAGAAATCAGACATTCTGACAAATTCTGGCAATCAAAATGAACATCGCCAGTGAGGGACAGATGGTTATCAGATGGTTGTAAGGCACCTTCAAATGTGATCCACAGTGACAGAAATATCACCTACGCAGCAATAAATAACTTGGGTCTAATCACACAGTAGTATCAGATAAACCCCAAATTAGCAATGCTGTATTAAAAAGAGGAAAAATGGGTGTATTCTTCAAAAACTTCCATGTCATAAGAGACAGAGAAAGTCTGTGGAAATGTTTCCAGATTAACGAAAGCCAAAGACATATGGCAACTAAATGCAACCTGACCCTAATCCGTCCGAACCCTGAACTGGAGAGGGAGAGGATGCTACTGGATTAATGGACAAAACTGGAGACAAGTCGCAGTTTAGACAAAAAGTATCATATGTGCTTATATTAGAGCTAACCCAATCCTCATTTTTAGGAAATACACATTTCCTAAGAAAGTACACAGGAATAAGATGCCGTGGTGTGCGTAACTTAAATCATTCAGAAAAACGATTATATGGGTGTGTGTATGCAGGTAGGTAAGTAGGTAGGTAAAGACTGAGAGCTAGAAGAGAGAGATTGAGAAAATGGGTGCAAAGTAAGTGGGGTAAAATGCTCCCCACAGGTGATTCTGAGTACACAGGTGTTCTCTGTAGCAATTTTTTTTTTTTTACCTCGTCTGTAAGTGTGAAATTGCCTACTTCTGAATAAAAAGATTCAAACATTGCTCTACCTACTGCTAACAACAACAAAAATTCTCATCATTCTTGTAGGACTAAAATATTCAAAATCAACAATACCTTTAATCTCCAGCTATTTTTCATGCATTTTATGACTCACAATTATTTTTTATACCACTAAAAAAGGAGAAAAGATGACAACCATAATTATAAGACAGAATTAAATAGCAGCATTTTTCCTGTTATCTGGGTATTAGTAAAACCCAAGGGTGGGAACAAAGCAAAGCTAAATTCCTGACGTTCTAAAGAACATTCTAAAGAGATAATTGGAGGCCAGACACCTTTTCCTAGACTTAAAAGGGACAGAGGTGCCCATGATGCCATCAGCCAGCACCTCAACTTGCTCCTTCATCCTAGTCTGTAGAACTAGGGGGCTGGAGGTAAGAGGTCATAGAGGTAATAGAGGTCATAGTCTACAGCAGTCTTGATGAAGAGGTTTTTCTTTCTCCTGTGACCATCACCAATTGCTTCCACTTCCTAAAGCTAAGGGAAAAGGCATTTGCTTTTATTTCTGGATTTTTGCCACTATAAAAAGGGCTGTAATAAACATCCTTAAAATTATGTCCTTACACAGTAGTACTCTTCTTTTCAATAGGACAGAGTCCCTAGAATGGGACTGATGCATCCAATTATAGGTGGGGTTTTTTGTTTTAATTTTATAGATGTTGTCAGATTGTTTTCAAAAAGGATGTACACACACTTCACCATTTTCCCACATCCCCACCAGCTCTACATGTTATCTTTGTCCATCTGTTCTTACTGCTACCTTACATACATTTCCCTATCTATTCATGAATAGTGACATATGTTTTTATGTATATATATGTTTATTAGCCATGTGAATAGCTTTCCTGTAATTTGTTAATGCATACTCTTGTTTTCCCTTTTTCTGCAAATTGTTAAGAAATTTATGTATATTATAGATATTAACCTTTCATCTGTCATTTACAGTACAAATACTTTTTTCCAGAACTATCATTCGTTATTCTTTGTTTATGGTATCTTTTGTCCTAAAAGATTTTTTTGTTTTTATATGATCAAATATTAACAAATACATAAATGCACATATACATATATGTATATATGTGTGTGTTTATATATTTAAAAGATATGTATCTATCTTTAAGCCCCTGAAATCCCGGTAACTAAATGTAATTTTTAATTATCAAAGACGATTGAGAATTTAAAGCATTTGTCCTATATATAAATAAGGGACAGCAGGAAAAAGAGATGTAACCAAACAGGGTTGAAGCAGTTATTACTGGGGGAAGAAAAAATTCAAGTTTATTTCTTCTGTCAACTGAGATTTTCAATGAACCAGTTAAATCTAACTTATTTAAGTGGATACAGCATTAAGATTCTCATTCTCATTCCCATTTTTAAATGGAGAAACTGAAGTATGGTGAAAAGCCACAGTGAGTAACACAGCTGAGACTCAATAGTATGTCTCTTGAAACACAACAGCAAGTCAATACGAGGTTTTGGTAGCATTTAGGAGCAAGCTGCTTACCTTTCAATAGCTAATTCTTTGTTAGAAAGTTGCTGCACTGTAATCACAACCTTCTTTTCTATTCCTTGTTTTAATTTGAAATAAAATTTGTCTCTATCCTTAGGAACAGGACTGAAATATGCGAAAAGAACAGAAATTATTAGTACAATAACACAATAAAATAATCTATTCCAAGGTTAGAATCTATTCTGAGCTTCAGATGAGAAAATACCCTTAGTCTTAACATGCTCTAAACTCTCATTCTGCCAGAGCAGCTAGCTACAAATTTTACAGTCAGCAAAACAAAGTCATTAATTAATTTTTAAATTAGACTCGCAAGGGCCTTATACTTTATCTCTAACACAAGTTAAAACCAAGATTATTTAAAGGACACTATTTCAATTTTAGATTTTAAATTTAATAGATTTAGGAATATAGCTTGTTCATTTTTTAAGACTCACTATTCTGGTTTAGCTGGTTGTGTGGCCTTAAGAACTAAAACCCAAGACAAAACAAAGTGAGAAGAGCTTGCTTTAAATATCTACCATTTGAGATAACTGTAACATACTCAAGTAAATACACATAAAAATGGACAAAGAGATATGGGTCAGTACAACTACAATTCTAGCCTAGGCCAGACTGACTACTCTTAAGAATTAATTAAGAAAATAAATGTCTAAAATACAGGTTGTCATATCTGAAATGAAAAAATCCCCTGAACAACTTATCTAAGACTCAATGTTTAGATCTACAAAAAAGCAGACAAAATATCTACCTAATAATTATTGTTAGAATTAAAGGCACATAAATGATCATTAAGAGCATAACTGTGCTCTATAATCTATTTGTGAACACAAGAAAAACATTCTAAACATACAACAGAAGAAAATGTTTAATTAAATGATGGTGAAACCACCCAACACACTCTTGATACCAATGAAGCTGATTTTGATTAAGAACATTTTAATGGAAAAATTCTTACATAATAAAGAGAAAAATTATGTATATACAAGTGTATAAAAATACCCCTTAGAAATAAACAAAGGGAATAAATCAAATATTAAAACTGAGTGTGGCTGACAAAACTATACCTTTTTATTCTGCATTTATTATTTTACCAATTTTTCTATAATATCATTATTCTTAAATACTGAGGAAATCATCTACATAAAATATCTGAAAGCATGAGAATAATGAAACATACTCATTCACCTGCCAAATATTTATCATGTTAAAGCTTTCTACGAATGTTGCATAGCTTCTGGAAGCTTTACATTAGCCAGTATTATATTTCAAGCATAATACCAACTTTTATTCTTCCCAAATAACCTCACCTAAAGTTTCCTTTTCCATCATCTTCTTTTACCTCCAAGGAGACACTGAAGGTGAACACGTCACTGTCAGGGGTAGGAATAATCGAGTCTTTAACATCAGTCACTTGTCTGGAAGAACGTTTGAATGCTGTACAGAAACTATATAAAATTCTGCTTACCTGAAAGAAAAATGGAAATACCATTAGGCGAAGGTTTTAACTGCATTTTGCTACTCCTCTTTCCTAATTCTTGAATCCGTAACTTTCCATGGTCACAATTTACTTCAGCAGATATAGTCTAAGCATACATTTATATATTTATGTTCACACAAATTATATATATGGTGTTTTATATATATTGCTTGCTTATATTCATATAAGCTTATATTTATGTATGTATGTTTATATATTGTACATAACATTTTATATACAGTTTCTTCTTTAAACTCTAGCATTTAAAATGGTAATAAAAAGGTCTAACTAGGGACGCCTGGGTGGCTCAGTTGGTTAAGCAGCTGCCTTCAGCTCAGGTCATGATCCTAGCGTCCTGGGATCGAGTCCCGCATCGGGCTCCTTGCTCAGCGGGTAGCCTGCTTCTCCCTCTGCCTCTGCCTGCCATTCTGTCTGCCTGTGCTCGCTCTCTCTCCAACAAATAAATTAAAAAAAAAAAAAAAAAAAAAAAAAAAAAGGTCTAACTAACTGAAGTTCACTGAAGGAACTAGATTTATTTACAGATGTTTCTAGGTCTCAGAATATACCATATTGCAATCAATGAACCCTAAGATAATTGTCAGAATGGTGTTGGCTTCTAAATCTTCCCAATGAACACACAAAACAAGGTGTCAGCCTAAGTTCTCAATTTCTCTTTTCACTCCCCCTCAGCTGCAGAGGGCTAGACACTGAGGCACAGAATAAAGTAAATACTGGCGTTAGCAATAAGCTGACACAGTAATGTGATCTAAAGAGATTCAAGTGCTGTTCCTCAGTGTTGCTGTGATACAAATGCACTGCAGGATTCCCAGCTGAGACGATCTATTTATTAGTGCTAAGCCACCCTGGTGACTTCTATAAAATATATATCTATCAATGGCTTATACTCTTGCCCTAAAGTAGAGAAGTACTCTAGATCCCACTCTTTCGGAAGTTATTCTCTTCCTTGGCTCCAAAAGAAGCATCAAACCATCTCAAAATTATAAGCTTGAAGCACAAAAGTACTTCCAAATTTCTCAGGCCACCCATGGGTTGAACAATGAAACCAAGATGAAACAAGTAGAGTTTAACAAAGGTCGTACATAATCTCACATGGGGAGATACAAGAGACTCCCTTAAATATGAACAAATCCTGCCCTTTAGATAAAGTGAATTAAAATCATTCACTGAATTATGTGAGTTTAAGACTATAATATTTTGTCATTTGCTTGAAATGACCACTTACATCAACAGAATTTCTTAAAGCATGGGGTCTTTTTCTGTTTTTGTGATGTTCATGTATATTCTGCCTTTTCTCATACAGTCTATCACATTTAAAAATAAGTGGTCCTCAAATTTCCCACAGCCACACTTGCATCTATTAATCAATAATTACCCTAAACTGCCTTTCCATTGCCAAATTAAGCTTAACTGACTTACACACTTTTAAATGTGTACAAATACTGCCTGCCAGCCTGAGGTTCACATCCAGCAGAGCACATCTGTACCACAGTGCTTGTAAAATTTTTTAAATATTTTAATGTGTTACCCAACTATAATTTTATGTAAATGAGTAAAAACAACAAAAGCAATAAAGGACTGATATAACTAAGAAATGCAGTCCTCAACTCTTCTACAATTAAGATGACGAATTCACACATTCATTTAATAAATATTTTTTGAGCGCCTTCTGTATACTTAGTATCATTCTAGGTGCTAGGGATACAGCAGTGAATGTGGTGCTTACATTTCAGCACATGTACGTTGAACACGCTTCGTTTAACATGCTTCGGGTAGGAAAGAAGAAATCATTAGGTAAGCCAAAACCAGAAATAGCCTCAAATGGATACTTATTCGATTTAGCTCAATACTTTAAGTGGTTAGAAAAGAAAACAGAAGCAAAAAACCCACTAGAAATAAGTCATTGAAGAGTATGACTCAAGGGAAAGTGTAAATAGAAACTTTAAATCACTTTTAGTTGAGTACTCCCCATTTCCTAACATCAAACAAAATGTGAAGTCTAGTATTTGCTATTTACACATTCAACTCCAGCATATTTTTAAGAAAACGATGTATGTAAATATAGGGGAACACCTGTAGATACACTGATACATTAGCAGAGTCAAACCCCAACCATATTTATTCTTTCTTTTCCTCTCCCGTATCTTCTATTTCGTTTTCTTTCCATAAGAGCTATCAGCAAGCCTGCCACATCAGGACACACCAAACATCAGGGAGCTTGGCAAATTCTAAAGTAGATGGCAAGGCTCAGCAATTTCTCTTTAAAAGGGTTTTAAGTATATGGGGTTGAGCCAGAGTAGTTAAGAATGACTTGGGGGTGGGGGAGGCAGAGGAATCAGACTACACTTTTCTCTTTTTAGACATAGGACACAACAGTACATTAACAGCAATCAAACTACATTTCATCCTCACCACGTCTTATAGCTGCCACTCCCAACAACAAGGTTAAAATCATTTGTGAATTCTAGAGTCTACGAGTAGCTGGAATGGTGACCCAATGATTGGCAAGGTACAGTATCTTCAGGAAAAATGATTATCAAGGTCTATAGTTATTGAAACAAATTGGGTAACCAACTACACCATACACAATACATACAAGAATATTAAAAACATACACCACGGTCCAACATTTCTATACATGTCACACTATTAAACACGCACACACACACACACACACACACACACAAATAATCTAGAATAGGCATAGTCTTTGCAGAAGGGAAGCTTTATTGACAAATAATACAGTACAATTTTCCCCCAGAAAGCTATACCTACGGAAAGTACTAATTAAACACAAAAGTATCTGTTGGGGTTGTTGATTATGAAGAGGTAGGAGGAGAGCACACATAGGTATGTAGAAAGGAGATATACCAAAATCTTAACTCTGGTGAAATTTTGAGTAACTTCTATTTTCTTCTTCTTTATTTCAGTAGTTTCCACCTTCTCAAATATGTATTACATGTAAATACTCCAAAAAATGCTATTAAACAAAAAGGTATTTACTTAACATAAAGCCTTTTCATTAATATTGGTGAAAGATAACTGACTTTTTAAAAATACCATATATCAAGAAAATGTTCACCCAAGAAACGGATGTAGAAAAATCATTCTATAAAGGGCACCATGAAAGATACTGTGTTAAATTTTTAGAAACAAATTATTCCAATAAATTACTCACAGAAAGGAACCAAAATAAGAGGCATAACGTACAAGAAACTTTTCTTTTAAAGACCTATTTATTTGAGAGAGAGAGAAACCATGCTAGAAGGGGGGGGGGCGCAGAGGGAGAGAAACTCAAGCAGACTCCCTGCTGAGCACAGAGCCCCATATGAGGTTCTGTCTCAGGATCCTAAGATCATGACCTGAGCCAAAATCAAGAGTCAGACACTTCACCGACTGAGCCACCCAGGTGTCCTCATACAAGAAACTTTTTAAAAATTATAAAAATAAACTTATTTATGGAAAACACTAGTAACATAACTTCAGAATTAATTTCCAAAATAAGGCATTTTGCTAAAATGCCATCTCAATAAATATGTTCTGAAATAATATATTCCCTTGTATACAAGGAATAAGGTTTCTTACACAGTGACATTTCAGCAACCTCCCTCCCCACCCCTCAAAAAAACAGTGCATTAAGAATGAAGATCTTCCCAATGATACCCTTGAAATTTACTATGAAATACCTCTGAATGCCTTTAACACTAGGTAATAATCATGCTTCTAAAATGTTTAACACTGAGAACTGCCAGGAATGGATAAGTATGTTAAAATACACAAACAACAAACATCAAATCTGTTTTGAGGAAACTTGTTACACAGACTTAATAAATTCTGAAAGACAGTCAACTAAGCCTTTTAAAAGTATCTTTACAGTTGATGGGGGGAGGGGTTTGGGGGGGGTGGGGTTATGGACATTGGGGAGGGTATGTGCTATGGTGAGTGCTGTGAAGTGTGTAAACCTGGCGATTCACAGACCTGTACCCCTGGGGATAAAAATATATTATATGGGCGCCTGGGTGGCTCAGTGGGTTAAGCCGCTGCCTTCAGCTCAGGTCTTGATCTCAGGGTCCTGGGATCGAGTCCCGCTCTCTGCTCAGCAGGGAGCCTGCTTCCCTCTCTCTCTCTCTCTGCCTGCCTCTCCGTCTACTTGTGATCTCTCTCTGTGAAATAAATAAATAAAATCTTTAAAATATATATACATATGTTTATAAAAAATAAAATTTAAAAAAAAGTATCTTTACAAACAGTTTTATACAATGTATCCATAAAGATGCAACAGGGTACATGTCTCCCTGGCTTTTTTCACTATGCTTTCTGATATTCTGTTTGGCCTGCAATCCTTCAGCAGAAACAGTGTATCACTTTCCCTGAACAAAATCAGGGGCATCAAGATACCTGGGGTCGGATTCCCCAACTCTTGCCATAGGTAATTGAGATCCACTCCAGCAGAGCCCTACTGATGAATCTCCCGGGTCTATCAAGTCATATGTATCCTAACCCTTCTGTGGGAACACCTAATCCTTACGTCAGGTCCCACAGAGCTATGGCCTTCACTGGCTTCACCCTAACACTACTTGTGGGATTTTAGGGTAAAATAAGAGCATCACAGTGATAGTTGGTCTTGGCAGCCAAGCAGCTACTCCTGCTTGAGAAGTTAAGCTGTCTTCTTGCTCTTGACAAACTTCTACAGATCACATCCAAGGACTCTGCACACAATGGAAAACAAGTAAGTTAGTAACATTGCTTAACAGTACATATTTAGGCAATAAGAACGTCTGTTACCTCTTCCTGAACTATCTTTGCCAATTGTTTGTGCCCATCAAGAGGGACCCCAAAACTAAGGACTAAAGTTGCACCTTCACCACAGAACAAGAAACCTAGGAACCAGATAATGAGACAACCAGTAAAATGCAACTAAAGACTTCAGATTAATTAAAGTGGGTCATTATTTTTTGAGGGGAAAGAGGAAGATGTTGGACATCTTCTGTGTAAGGCATGATTAAAACCCAAAGGTGGGTGGAATGTAAACTAAATGAACAATAAATGTCTTCATTAAACATAATGAAAAAATCCATATTTGTTTTTTATAATATTTAAGCAACAGGTAAGCTGTTACTGAAAATAACATGGGTATTTAGAGTCAGAGACTTCTATTTGAAACCCAGATCTATTATATATAATCTTAGAGAAGATCACTAATCAAAATAAAAACTATCTATACCATGGGGATTTTATGAATGTCAAGAAAATGCTTAGCACAGTGCCTGGCATAAGCTCTACATTTATACTGGTTATTTTTTCATTTAGAAATATCTCTCATAATAAAGTTTAATGACAAATGTCATATATTTCTCCTTCAAATAATGAATTTTGCCACCAATGAACCCATAATGGAATGCTTCCAAAAATGTACTGTAAAAAAATTAAATACACGGATATCACCTCTCATAACCTGCAATGTACCAAATATCCGCTCCAGAAATATACTTAATACTATTTAATATCATATCCAAAATGGTCAGGCTGAGAATTCCCCCACAGCTTTGTCCACTGCTTATCCACTGTTAAAGCTCTCAAAAACGACACACAGTTCTTCTACCCATAAACAAGAGGATGCGATAATCAAAAAGAGAGTTTCCTACCATCATAATTATGAAAAATGCTTGCAAGCCAGGGCCCTTTCCATTTTCTTCTGCAGAAGTGTTTCTACCTCTCCAAGCAGGAGGTTCTCCAAGTCTTCAAAGTTCATTTCCTTGCTGTTAAGCGCCAATTACCCAGAAACCACACAGGTGTGTTAAATGCTGCGAACATGAAATGCCAGGACTCTACCCTCTGCTTCTTCACTTCTGTAGTAGAGTTGTAAGGCTCTGAAATAGACCCCTTCATTCACAAATTCACAGATATTCTTTCAACATATTTATATTCACTGCCTGCTAAGTGCCAGGCACACTTGTACTCATTCACTCTCCTATCACACCACCGACCAAGCAGACAGTATATACATAAATATAGAAATGTTGGCATGAAAGTCTCAGACGTATTTTTTTAAAAACAAAAAAACCAACTTGAACTTCTTATACAGGCGTGGGTTCTGCCTCGTATGGCTACAATCTAAATTACGTGTGTCTTTGCATGTTCATTTTAGTATAAATAAAATTAGTCACTAAGGCATAAGAACGGACATATCCTTCATGCTTAGTATCAAACACAGAGAAATACACATTTCTGTGAGTTCCCATGTTGTGGCCAGAAATAAACTCTTGGAAGTCCTGTTAATACAATGGTTATTTATGTTTCATGGTAAACAGAAAATAGAATAGCGGCTTTTAACATTTCCTGCTGACAATTTATATTTCCAAAAGTCAATACACCTTAGATTTGCCCATACAAACAAATTTATTAATGCCTTTAAAATGGCTGTAAGCACTGAAGTTCTAAAAGTACAACCCAATTACACCTGAAACTATATAACACTGTGTGTTAACTATTGTGGAATTTTTTTTAAGTTTTTGTATTTATTTAAGTAATCTCTACCAAACATGGGGTTCAAACTCATAACTCCAAGATCAAGAGCCATACACTCTACAGACTGAGCCAGTCAGGCACACTGGAATTTTTTTTAAGTGCAATTTTTTATTTTTTTATAATTTTTATATATAATTATATATATATAAATTGTTTATATAATTTTTATAATATTTTTAATTGGGGGAGAATCCAACAAATACAGAAAAGAAGGCAATTTCTCCATGTTTTTAAGAACCATTTCTCTAGTCTCAGAATAAACCACCAGTTAGTAATTACCAAGAGGAACATTACTAGCATCTTCAAAAAACTCTAAGTTGACACCCCCGCTATCGGTGAGATTTGTATTTTTTTTTAAAGATTTTATTTATTTATTTATTTATTTATTTATTTATTTATTTGACAGATCAGAAGTAGGCAGAGAGGCAGGCAGAGAGAGAAAGTGGGGGAAGCAGGCTCCCTGCCGAGCAGAGAGACAGATACAGGGCTTGATCCCAGGACCCTGGGATCATGACCCGAGCCGAAGGCAGAGGCTTTAACCCACTGAGCCACCCAGGCGCCCCGAGATTTGTATTTTTAATTAGGTCAGTTCCATAAAGCAGAAGTCATCCTCTGAGGGAATGAACATAATAATCACCAGTGAAAACCACAGATATCTATGAAACAATCATAGTCCAATATGTAAATGAAAGCAACATGTAACCCTCAGTCCAGCAGAAAAACGTTTTGTAAGAGAGGCTTTAAAAAGTCACATGTACCAATCAACTTGGGAAAAATAACAACAGAGGCCATTCTAAGCCTGAGCAATTACTACCATGGTAGGGTAGGAGGAGGGCTCATCAAGTAGGATTTTTTCTGTTACATTTGTTAAGTTGCGAGTGCCCTACCTACAATACCACTTTAATGCAGTTATCAGATTTAGCTTTCCATCTTTAGTCCTATGCCATTAAATATTAACTTTCTCTTTAGAAATGTACTCCAAATTTGTGTAATAGAGTATATGGTGATACATACTAATTTACAAAACAGTGAGACTACAGTTCAAACATACTACCCTAATTCATCTTGATAGCAAATTGCTACAGTATATACTTACAGCCTCTTTAATTTCACAGGAGAAAACATGTATCTGAAATTCTTCTGAACCATGGGAACTCTCTGTAAATGCAAAGCAATTGCTCTCTGTTGTCCCATCATGTCCACGTGCACAGAATAACACCTTATAGATCGGGAAAGAAGCTAACTCCACATTGTTGGATTGGTCTATAATTCTACAGAACAGTGATAAAAAATAAGAAAATATTAACTATCAAAGAACAAAAGCAAACAGTTCTATTACACTAATGACATATATACATAATTATCTTAATTATCTTTTTTTTAAAAGATTTTATTTATTTATTTGACAGACAGAGATCACAGGTAGGTAGAGAGGCAGACAGAGAGAGAGGAAGGAGAGAGGAAGGGAAGCAGGCTCCCTGCTGAGCAGAGAGCCCGATGCGGGCCTCAATCCCAGGACCCTGGGATCATGACCTGAGCTGAAGGGAGAGGCTTTAACCCACTGAGCCACCCAGGCGCCCCTATATTAATTATCTTAAAATCATAAAAATAAACTGGCTATAATTATGTACTAAAATAATATTTTATTATGTTTGTGTATGTGTGTATATATGTGTACAGATATACATATCTGTACACATGCACACACACACACACACACACACACATAAATTCTTCAACTTCTTTTAACAATTACTTAACTTTTTTATCTCCTATGATGCAATTCATTTACTCCCAAAGCCAAGTACACATTACTTGTGTCATAAAATCTATTGTCACCCATCCCCAACTGCTAGCCTTGTTCTGCTATAGCAAAAGAGATGTTAGGACAGAATACCACAGATCATCCCTGGACAGTTCATTTCTATTTATAAAGCACCTATAAGTTTATCTAAGACCTAGGTCATTGTTCAACCAAGACATCTCTTACCCAAAACAAAAAAAGTCAGAGTGGTTCCAAAGCTGAACTTAACAACAGAAGTTAAGAAGTAAAAGAAGTCTGTGGGGTTTAGGAATAAATAACTCTCTGACTTTCCCCTATGTAAATCCTAAGCCCTAGACTGACTGAAAATCTCAAGACCACGTCAGGATCTACAAAACTAAGGGGTACCCGGTAGGAATAGAGGCACAAGTCAAAACACTAAGTCTTTGTCAAGATGTGTTTGACACTTTGAAACTAAAAAGATAACTTTAAAAGCCATTTGACATTTTTTAAGAAATACCATATAAATACTATAGCTACAAAACACTTTCCTTAAAAAATTCAAAGTATTTTCACCAAACCTTATAAATTTATATTGCTATTAGTTTAGTACTTAGAACTAAGCTAACATTTTCTCACATTCTAAACCTTAGAGAATAAGGCATTTCAGAAAGAGTTTGAAAAAAGACTAAATTGGCTGTCAGGGAATATTTTAGGACCAGGATACAGTCAACCTAATTTCAAAGATTTGGTACATTTCATTTGTTCATTCAGTAAACATTTACTGAAATCTGCTATGGACCAGATACTACTCTCAACACTGAAGCTACAGCACAGAGAAAGAAATAATCTGCTCTCGTGGAGCTTATATTCTAGTGAGGAAGTTAGACAATAAACCCATAAGCAAATAAACATACAATACGAAATCAAAGAAAGTGCTATGAAGGAAAAAAAGGCCCAATAATGGGGAAAAAAGGAACAGTTACGTGACCTGATCAAAGAAGGCTTCTTCTGATAAAACATTTGAGGTGAAATGTAAAGAAGTAAAAAAGCTACTGGGAAACAAGGGAAGATTTTTTTTTAAGATTTTATTTATTTATTTGACAGAGAGAGAGATCACAAGTAGGCGGAGAGGCCACAAGTAGGCAGAGAGGCAGGCAGAGAGAGAGGGGGAAGCAGGCTCCCTGCTGAGCAGAGAGCCTGATGTGGGGCTCGATCCCAGGACCCTGAGATCATGACCTGAGCCAAAGGCAGAGGCTTTAACCCACTGAGCCACCCAGGCACCCCAAGGGAAGATTTTTTAAGCTAATGCAAGAGAAAATACAAAGGTCCTGAGGTAGGAATCATGATGTTTGAGAAAGTACAAAGAAGCTACTATGACTGGAAGGTAGTGAGTAAATAAAGTGAGAGAGAGAGAAGACAGGTAAGGAGAGAGGAGAAGGGTAAAAGATCAGGTCAAGGCAGTAGTTTCTCAGTGACCAGACATGGTAAGAATTTTTTAATATAATCACAAGTGTGACTAAAGGCCACTGAATGTAGAAGAACATGATCTGATTTAAAGAAACTCAAGCTTCAGGTGACAGTAAATATTATTCCTAATTAAGCATTAAGAGAAAAAGCCATTTTGCTTCTTCCCAATCTGTTAAAAGTATAAAGTCTATGGCTCACTCCAGTTCCTTTTTTTTTTCTTAACGATTATATTCATTTATTTGAAAAGAGAGAGGGGGGGCACCTGGGTGGCTCAGTGGGTTAAAGCCTCTGCCTTCAGCTCAGGTCATGATCCCAGGGTTCTGGAATCGAGCCCCGTGTCAGGCTCTCTGCTCAGTGGGGAGCCTGCTTCCTCCTCTCTCTCTGCCTGCCTCTCTGCCTCTTGTGATCTCTGTCTGTCAAATAAATAAATAAATATAATCTTAAAAAAAAAAAAGAGAGAGAGAGAGAGAGAGAGAACGCACAAGCAGGCAGAGTGGCAAACAGAAGGGGAGGGAAAAGAGGCTCTGCACTGAGCAGGAAGGCCCACGGAAGGCTCGATCCCAGGATCCTGGGGATCATGACCCAAGCCAAAGGCAGATGCTTAATGGACTGAGCCACCCAGGTGCCCCTCACTCTAGTTCTTGAACCACGGTTATAGGACAAGGGGAAGACAAGTTTTTATGTTTCTTCTGAATAGGTATGTTTAAATTTCTATTTCCATTCATAATATTCTAAGCAAAATTTTGTAAACGCCTCTCATAAATAAGCAACATGGTCTAAGCCTAAAAATGTTTACTTTTCATGTCTACAGAGTAAAAGTGAACTCACTGTAAGTCCTAGTCCTATTTACGATATAACATCATCACCACCATGCAAAAAATTTCATACATGTCTAGGGGAAATAAAAAAAGATTGGAGCTTACCTCACAGAACCTTCTGGAACATTTGGCACATAGAGAGTAACAGGAAAGGGGTGCTGACTGGAAGATTTCATAGTTGCCATTGCTCGTAAAGCCTCCACTTCATTACGTGGGGAAGAAACCCTCATACATCCTAAGTAGGTCAGTTTGTTAAATAAAACACTATCTTCTTCAGGTAATCCACTTGGAGAAGATGGTCTGGGTGTAGAAATTTCTGAAGAAAAACACACACACACTCACTCAAAAGTTAATGGAAAACTTAAATGAAAAACTGCAAACAAAATTTAGCTCTGTGTTTTCACTTCTTTTGATGTTTATGCTACATCTTAATTCAGAGTTCTGGAATTTTGTACTTTCAAAGCCTCTCAAAGTATTATCTTACTTAGCTATAACTTCTTTAGAGGAAAAGGAAAAAGAACTAAGTTTTTATTTAAAAAAAAAAGGAAGAGTTCAAATGATGTAGAACAATAAGGAGAAAAAACTACACTAAAGGCAGGGTGGGGGTGTCTGGGTGACTCAATCGGTTAAGCATCTGCCTTCAGCCCAGGTCATGATCCCAGGATCCTGGGATCGAGCTCCACATCAGGCTCCCTGCTCTACAGGGAGTCTGCTTCTCATTCTCTCCTCTGCCTCTCTTGCTCTCTCTCTCTCTTTTTCCCAAATAAATAAAATCTTTAAAAAAAAAAAAAAAGGCAGGGTTAAGTAGCCTAAAAATAATGAGGATTAAATAAAACTAAAATAAGTTAAAAGTCTGTCCTGGCTGTAGAGATCCTGCATAGCACCAAATTTATTAAGGAGCCTAACTTCACAAGAAAAAGTAAACAACATTAAGATGTTAACATCTCATATCAGTAACAACAAAAGCAAGCTCCCTCTTTGCCTCCTTCCTGGCTTGCTGACCTCTCTGAACTATGTAAGTATTCCAATGCATCCTACGACTGCTTCCTATGAATGATCCTATTATTGCTTCCTCTAATTCTCCTCTCCCCATTAATGAGTTTCTAAAACAAACAAACTGTTCACTTTAGAAAATCCTAAGCACAGCATGCAGCAAAGGCCCAACTGTGGCTAAAGAGTATCTATCTGCATGTATCAGATACTATCAAATTCTCCCTTTGCCTCTCTCTCCATCCTCACCTGAAACCCACATTGAGTTAGTCTCCACCTCTTCCCATTACCCATACCCAAACACACCTGTCTACCAGAACTAGATCCTTGTACCAGGTCCAAATCCTCATTACCAGGATCCCACTTGATAGTATATTAATAAATAATTCACAAAAGCCATTCCCAGCTCCCAAACATTATACTATAGCATGCAACATCACCACCTACTTTTCTTCTGTTGAGAAACTAAACCCATTCAAAATGAATTACTTCATCTACCATGTTCTTTAATCACTGAAACATGTTTTTTCCCCCTTTTGAATCAGTTCAATGTGCTGGATTTCAAAAGGGATAAATAAAGAACAGAAATACATGTTAAGGCTAAATGCTAACATTCATTAGCTAACATGTCTAGACTTATTATATGTATTTTTTGTTAAATTAGCAAGCACACAACAGTTATCTGCAAGATCCTATGATTAAATCATGTTTTAGTAACTGATGAGCATGGAAGATAAAGCAGTTCAAGTGGTCTAATTTAAATGTAGTCAGAGTTTTAGCAAAAAAATAAAAAAGTGGCTTTCTAAGTAACTCTGTAAACCCCAAATAGAGAAACAGCACAGAAACTGATCCCAAAAAAGACAAATGACAAAATAAGCAGACAAAGCCTTTAAAATAACTATCATAATTATGACTGAGGATTTAAAAACATCTAACAAAACAAGGAGAAAAAAAATGAAAGACAAAGGACCAAAAGAAATTCTAGACCTAAAAAATGCAAGATGTGAAATCAAATGCTCCCTCCTGTAACAGCAGATTCTAAATTGCAGAAGAAAAGAAGAATGTTAAAGAAGTTCCTTGGGACAAAGGAAAATGATACTGGAGGAAAACTGAAGACCAACAGAAGTTATAAATATGAGGGCAAGAATTTTTCCTTGCTTTTTCATTTCTTTAAAACATAACAAATTTTTTAAAGTGAAAAATTAGTATTTTGTAGAATTTGTAATGTGTATAAGCAAAATGAATGACAACAAAAGCATAAAGTCTGCAGGAAAAGAAAAAGAAGATCCTCACAGTATACATGAAGTGGTATATTATTAAAACATAGACCTGTTAAAGACTTAAGTCATAAACCTCAAGCACTAAAATAATAAAACAAATTATAAAATTTGTATACAGTTGTCTACAATTACACAGTTAATATACCAGTAGTGGGAATAAAATATAGTATTAAAAAATATTCAATTCAAAGGAAGGCAGGAAAAGGGGGAAAAGACACAAAAACAAAGGGACAAAGGGAAAACAAACAGCAAGAAAGAAGGAATACTTATATCCAAACATGCACAAAATTACATTAAGTATAAATGGTCAAAGACAAGGATCACCAGCTTTTTCTATAAAGAGCCATATTAATAAGTATTTCAGGCTTTGTGGGCCAAGAAAAATTTGGATATTATACAGGTATTATATAAAAAGAGAAAAATGGCCTTCCATAATTTTTTTAAGAAATTCCAAAACTTAAAATGGACACTTTCAATTTGAATTTCATATAACTTTCATGTGTCACAAAATATTATTCTCTTTTGACTTGTTTTTAGCCCTTTAAAGATGTAAAAGCAATTCTTACCTTGCAAGTCATACTGAAAACAAGTAATGGGTAGCGTTTGGCCTATGGGAAGTAATTTGCTGAGCCCCGATCAATTAAAAGCTCATCAGACTGGATAAAAAAAGAAAAACTCAACTATAGGCTATCTACAATTTATCCACAATTTAAGGACACAAGTAGACTAAAAATAAATTAAAAAAAAAATAGTAGACATAACATGCAAACATTAATTATAAGAAAACTAGAGTAGTTATATTAATATCAAATATTAGACTGCAAAACAAGGAATAGTTAACAGGGGGAAAAGTAACATTTCACAAAGATAAAGGTTCAATTCATCAGAAAAACATAGTAATTTTAAGTGGTTATGCCCCCTAACACCAGAGCTTCAAAATACCTAAAGCAAAAACTGACAGAACCAGTCAAGTTGAAGTACTAAGTCTGCTACAGCTTATCTCTCTTAACTAAAAACACTGAACAGAATATAAAAAGTACATAAAAATTCTTTTTAAAAAAGTAAACAATAATTAAGATTAAAGAGAGGAGTCAAAACCTGAAGAACTACCAGTATAGTGTTGAGTTTCCTTCTTACCCCCATCCCCACCCTCTTTTATCTCCCAGATTGGTATGACCTAAGGGCAGTCCCAGTGCAGAACTGTGCAACGAACAAAACTATAAAAGAAATTATAAAACAAAAAAAGGAGTGTCTGCAAACCAGAGTGTCTGAGGAATTACAACTCGTTTCTGATACTGTTTCCTCTCTCTCTTTTCTCTCTCCCAGTTCTTCCACAAGGCCAGCCCCAGTTACAGACCTATACTGCAATGTGCAAAAGGTTGGTGGGGGGAGACAGACATCTAAAATTTAGAGGAAAAAAAACCTGTCGGGAAATCTAAACACCAGAGCAAATGGGTTCACTCCTTTGATTCAAAAATGGAGAAGGAAACCTCCATTATTTTTTTTCTCTTTTCTCTTACCACTTTGTCCTAGAGTAGACTCCAGGCATGCAAGACTGCTAGACAGCACAACAAAACAAAAACTCTAAGTGAGAAATCTTTCTACAGAAGAAGGAAAATGGGTCCCAGGAACCCAGAGAGTGTGGGAGAAATCCCAAAGAGAGTTGAGAAGAAGGAAATCCCTAATTCTGTATGTGAACTAATACAAGTTCGGGCTCACCATGTGTGTAACAAACCAAAGAAGCACAGCAAAGATTTTGGGAACTGAAGTGACTTTGGAACCAGAAAGGAAAATAAAACTTGAAGTCTGGACATTACCAGGTAGACTGCCCCCTAAAATAAAGTACAATCAATGTTCTTCAGAGGATCTTATAGAAAAAGAATCTCAAAACATAAGATTCAAAAAGTCTGGAAAATAATCCAATTAACAAACAAGCAAACAAAGAGTAAAAGGTAACCAACTCCCAAGGGAAAGAAGAATCAACATAAACCAATCTGAAGAGTACACAGTTGTGGAAATTATCAAGGACTTTAAAACTGCCTTTATAACCATGCTCCATGATATAAAGGTGAATACACCTGAAATGCATGAAAATATTGAAACCCTTGGCAAGGAAACAGAAAATGTAAGAAGAACCAAAGTTAATTTAAAAACAGAAAAATGGAATATCTAAAATTTAAAATTCAGGAGAGGGACTCAAAAGAAGGAAGAATAAAGAGTCAGTGAACTTGACCATAGGTCAACAAAATTACCTAAACTGAAAAACAGAAAAAATTGCAACAAGTAATGAAGAGAGCCTCAGAAAGGTGGAATAATAGGAAAATACCTAACATTTTTGTTGTCTGAGTCCCAGGAAGAGAAGAGAAAGTGAGTAAAGCAGAATATATATATATATATATATATATATATTTATAAGACATAATGGCTAGAAACTTCCCTTATGTGGTGAAAGACACAAATTTATAGATTCAAGAATCTCGGTGAACTCCGATAAAAAAAAAAAAAAAAAACATATAATCAAGCTGCTGAAAAGATAATAAAGAGTATACAGGAAAAACCAGCATGTTATAAACAGGGGGAAAATGAATGTTCATTTTCTCAACAGAAACTATGAAAACAAAAAGATAGCAGAATAACCTATTTATAGTGCTCAAAGAAAAGAACTATCTAAACGCTTTTCAAAAGGACACTGCTCCACAGAAATCTCCAGGAGCTACCAAAGTGCTTCAATAGAGATGAAGAGCCTACACCCTGCCGCACATGCATTTTAAGCAGATATGTATTGCAATTACTGGGCTTGGACCTAAAAGTTTATGTGATTTTATTTTCAGATTCAACATTTCCAATACTATTGAGGATGAGGATGATGACAATGAGGAGGAGAAAGATGGCATTTCATTTGGTACTTACTTTGTGCCAGGCATTTTACAAAATACCTAAAAATGAATGATCTTATTTCATCCTCTTTCACCTCTATACAGCTTATTCTATTTTATCTTTATTTTACAAATGAAGAAACTAAGTATTAGAGAAGTTAAAGAACCTGGCCAAGGTCATAGATGTGTAGACAGAGCTTGGGTTCAAATCCAGCTCTGATCTTCAGATATGAGGTCTTAACCTCTACAAAAGGTCTACAATAGGATGAATTAAAAGAACAGTATAGTTCTCATTCTGTATTTAGTTACACAGAGTATCAGCTCTTCAAGGGAAGGAACTGTTCTATCCTCTTTTTATTCACAGCACTTATTAACAGTGTCTAAAAGACTAGACAATATATATCAATTTAATTAACCACTAAATAGATGAAAAATTTTAAGGCTAATCATCCTTCCAGCTGCCTATCATGGGAAACACACATCATCCTGGGCACCACCTTATACCCTATCCCACCCACAACTGAATATATTGTAACTGCAGCCTTCATGTAGACAAAACTCATTGGTAACTATCCAATTACAACTAGTGGAGATCCTGAGTTAAGCCGCCAAATAGCAAAATATTTCTACCAATGGAATAGTTCTAGACCTTGTAAAGTCACACACCAATGTAAGGAATTCATTCCTACCTAAATATAAATTCAGTCTCCTACTTTTTAACTCCATCATCCTTTCCTCAGCAGAAAGAGTGACAAAGAGTATACAAAAGAAGACTCATCTTTGTATGCAAACAGTATTCAAGTATATTTTAATAAACTAGCAAAGATTCCCCATCAGAGCTGCAACCACGTAGTCAGGATATACAATCAAATGACAAAAATGAACAAGTTATCATCATGTTTAAACAAAAGCTTTCATCTGTCTAGTTTTACAACGAAAAACAACATACCTTAAATATTCACTCTAGCCCATTTAAACCTAGATGATCTCCAGACAGTTCCTTGCCACTGAAGTTATGCGTCATTTTAAACCAACCACAATAATTCTGTTAAGCAAAACTAGAAAAAGGCAGCTGAAATGTCTTGCCTTAGTCTGTTAAGGCTGCTATAACAAAATACCACAGACTGGGTGGTTTCTGAACAGCAGACATTTATTTCTCGCAGTTCTGGATGCCAGAAAGGCCAAGATCGAGGCACCAGCAGATTCAGTGTCTGGCAGGAGCCAACTTTCTGGGTCACAGACAACATCTTTTCACTGTGTCCTTAGAGGTGGAAGGGAGAAGCTAGTTTTCTGAGGTCTCTTTTACAACGACACTAATCCCAATCACAAGCATTCCACCTTCATGACAATCACTCCCCAATATTATCACCTAATATTATCACCTAATAATATAGTATCACCTAATATAACAATATTAGGTAATATCACCTAATACTACTGCCTAATACTATCACCTTGAGAGTTAGGATTTCAACACGAATTCTGAGAAGGACAAGAACATTCCAATATTATACTATTGAAAATAAAAACTAAAAATATATAACTAGAAAAAAATACTAAAAACTTACTTGTAAAGCAAAGGAAATCTCTTCTTACCCAATATCTTCAGTGAAAAATACATTTTTTAAAGCTTTTTTTTTTTAAAAGATTTTATTTACTTATTTGACAGACAGAGATCACAAGTAGGCAGAGAGACAGGCAGAGAGAGAGGAAGGGAAGCAGGCTCCCTGCCAAGCAGAGAGCCAGACGTGGGGCTTGATCCCAGGACCCTGAGATCACGACCCGAGCCAAAGGCAGAGGCTTTAACCCACTGAGCCACCCAGGCACCCCGAAAAATACATTTTTAAAATATATTTAGTGTAATGAGTGTTGAGAACACAAGAAAGTATAATACATGGTCCCTATCAAATAAACTTAAAATCATAAGCCCACTGCAAAGATTAACTAATTCCAACAACCCATCAGAGCTCCATTAGAAGATAAAAGGTATTTCCTCCTTTCAATTCATCTATTAACCAAAATATAATTATATAAATGTGATACAGTATGATCTGGGTTTTTTGGAAGAGTTGAGATTTAGGAAATTCAAAAGATAAAGCAAAGCACAATGAGTAATATAATCTCTTATGTTCCCTTAAGAACAAAAATTAATACTATTTAAAGTTTGTTTCTAATTAAAATATATATTTTTTAAGTAAAATATATATACATACATGTTTAGCTTAAGTTCCCTTGAATTTAATTCTAGCTGTATGACTATATACTGATAATATACCTATATTATCTACCTATAATATATACCTATATACCTATAATATATTATTATATGATAATAAATACCTGTAAGTATTTATAGTGAGTCACCAAACTAGAGAGTTTTATTAAGGAACCCCAACACATTACAAATATCTTCTCCTAGTCTGTCAGTAAGCCATATTGATTACATAGAACGGTTGAGGATGTATCAGTGGGACAGGGTAAAGAAAAAAAAAACACATACACGCACTCACATAAAAACTTGAAGTTTTTGTTGCCTAACACTAATGGTCCATTTGGAAGAAACCCCACAAGTACAATTTTTTTAAATGTTAAAAATGTGTTGTCTATGGGGCGGCTGGGTGGCTCAGTGGGTTAAGCCTCTGTCTTAAGTTCAGGTCATGATCTCAGGGTCCTGGGACTGAGCCCCGCATCTGGTTCTCTGCTCAGCAGGGAGCCTGCTTCCCCCTCTCTATCTCTGCCTGCCTCTCTGCCTACTTGTGGTCGCTGTCTGTCAAATAAATAAATAAAATCTTTAAAAAAATGTGTTGTCTAATAATTTAATTAAAATGTAGATCAAAGCAAAAAAAAACCTCATTTATTATGGTACCATTCTCATTCAGAAGATTTAAGTGTTTATGTATTAAAATATAACTTTCAGGGCACCTGGGTAGCTCAGTCAGTTGAGCATCTGACTCTGATTTTGACTCAGGTCATGATCTCAGGGTTTTGGGACAGAAGCCCAAGGAAGGCAGTGCACTCAGCAGGGAGTCTGCTTGAGATTCTCTCTCCCCGACCCTCCCCCACTATGCCCCTATGCACACACACTCTCTCTAAATTAACAAATAAAATCTTCTAAATATATATTTATATACCATAAATCTTTTAAATATATATAAAACATCTAAGTATATATTATATATATATATAAAACTATCTTTTTTTAATGATGTGGCTTTTCCTATGCAATCACAAAAATAGTCTCTGATATTTTCTTCTTATAGGTTTATTTTTCACATTTAACTATTTGATTCACTAGGAATAAATTCTGTGTATAGTGTAAGTTAGAGCCATCAAAGCCACACTGTGTATGGCCAGTATCTATACTTACCCTATAGCAACATTCAGAAATGGATCATTGGCCCTAAGTCAAGTAGGATAATCTCATCTTGTCTGTCAGTGTGACTTATTTCAGGGTTTGAATCTAACCATCAGTTACGGGTGATTCCCCTGGCTACTAGAAAATCCTTCAATGGAGTGAAACTCACAACTTTGGTTCAATAGATAAAAGAAGAGAGCCTTCCTCTCTGCCACAGCCATAAATAAATTATCTGGCCCTACTTACCAGTTTCTGCTGCTAACTACTTTATGACCATAAAGGAAGCCAATTAGAGGAAAGGGGACATGAAGAAGATCAAAGCTGAATAGTTTATTAAAAAACAACAACAACAACAAAACACTATCAGAGCCCAGATCAAACAATATCCCTAGTGTTTAAACTATCTGAAGTAGGAGTTAGCTTTGGTTTGGTTAGGCTTTTCTTGCTCCCAAAACCATTTTGCATTATAAGCTGGCATTTCTATTGTAAATCCTACTCAATAATGGATGTATTTATTTTTTAACATGTTGACAGAATTGATAGGCTATTTTACTTATAATTTTCACAAATGACAATTTGAAATAACTATAGTCAAACTGAGTAAAAAGGAACATCACATGAAAGACAATGTCCATTACACTATTCCTAACACCCAAGAATTTATTCAATTGTTCAGTAAGTATTTATTGAGTGCCTACTATGCGCCAAGTACTAGGAATAAAATAAAGACCCAGACATAGACCCTGTTCTCAAATAACACTGACATGCATTTAACATGTAGGAAAAAAAACAAAACAAAACATAAGAACCAAAGTTAGGGGGCGCCTGGGTGGCTCAGTAGGTTGAGCCTCTGCCTTCGGCTCAGGTCATGATGCCGGGGTCCTGGGATCGAGCCCCGCATTGGGCTCTCTGCTCAGCGGGGGGCCTGCTTCTCCCTCTCTATCTGCCTGACTCTGCCTACTTCTGCCTACTTGTGATTTTTCTCTCTGTCAAATAAACCAATAAGAAATCTTTAAAAAAAAAAAAAGAACCAAAGTGGGAACTCTTGACCAGAACCAAAAACCTTGGTGGCTTGTGTCCCTGATCTTAGAAAACAAAACTAACAGGATTTTAAAATTTTCTTCTTAAAATTTTCATGTTCACTTTATCCCATTTATCTTAAGGTGTTTAAGAGTTCAATACAGTACCTGTATTTGATGGATCCAAAATTAACTGGAGAGATGGCTTATTTGTTTGGCTAGCTGAAATATCTCCAAATGAATGCTCTGAAATCTCAGTGGAACTTTGACAATCAACAAGAAGAGTGCTTTGCCCTTTCTCAGAATCTCTCAAAATCTCTTCCATGGCTTTTTCCAATTGTTCATCACCATTCGAAACTATCTATAAGCAAATCAAGACAATTCTGTTTCAATCATATTATAGTTCTGGGGCTTAATGAAAATATTTTATTTCTAGAAGAAATTAAAACAAGTTAAATTTTAAATTAAAATATGTTACTGAATACAAAGAATTTATACAGTTGTACCTAACTATATCTGATCTAAGATCTAATTTACAAAGATTTTTCTTTCCTTTTCTTTTTTTCCATACGAACACATTCTAAGTACCAGGTAACATTAAATTTATGTGTTTTAAAGATAAAAACAGGTAAGTTTAAATAAAGTATCTACTCTCTTATTTAAAAGGTCATATTTCTCGTTATCATACCATAAACATATCTATGATTTCTTTACAAAGTTTGCTTGCTTGCTGCCAAGAGGAGTATTGGTAATTTCCTCACATTTAAGTTGACTCATTCTTCTCTTAAAAGCAGGTGAGAGACAAGGCCTAATAAATGTCATAAACACATTAATATTAAAATATAGATATTTAAATTTAAATAGTCATTTAAATACAAATATACTTAAATTTAAATAAAACCACTGATTGTTTTAATATATTTATAAAGCTATATATCCTCAACATAGTATAAATGGGTATTTAATAATATAATTTTTATAAAATTTTATTAAATTGATATATATTTTTGAGTCCATAGTTAGTACTAAATAAAAGTTATAAACAACATGTAGCACTGCCAACTAGTTTCTCCATTCCTGTTTCTCGAAGGTGGTTATACAATTCTCATGCTTGTACACCTGGGTCTGATTCTTTTTCTTTGAGTTAGTAAAGACAACAAAAATGAAAAAGGATCATTTTTGTTTATATAAAAATTCAACTGCTAAAAATATAAGACATATGCTTAAAAAAATATTCAGACAAACCAACTGTTCAATCACATACTAGAATGTTACCAGCTGATTTAAAACACAAAAACCACAATACTGTTTCTGAAGTAAAAATAAAACATAACTTTTATATAATTAACTTCAAAAACTCAGCAATAAGAAACACAAAAATACCCAGATAATGGTTAACTCTTACGTAAATTTAAGTCTAATTCCCCAATTATCCTTTTTTATTTTCCTTTCTATTCCTTCTTTCTAAAATTCTGAATTAAAACATAACTAAAAGCAAAAAACTTCAAAAACACACAAACCAAATATTAGCCTCTGCATAAATCAAATACTGATGGTATTCAAGGTCAGCATTTGAGAAAAACCTTTGTATTTTACACATCTCTTAAGATCAGTCTCACCTCATTAAGAAAAAAGCAGTGATTTAAAATAATATCATTTCTAGAGAAAGAAAGAAAGAGAAATACCTTCAGTTCAGGTTTCTCATCCTCTTTTGTAGAAGTATCATCTGCATGCTGAGGAACCAAAACAAATTCTTCACTGTTCAGCGTGGCCACAGAATCCGACGACCCACTAACCTTCTGCAATGCAGCTCTGACCTCCATTTCAATTCTACAAACTTCTCTTTCCACATCCACCTGATCAAAACTACAGGGATAAAAAAAAAAAAAACTATTAATGAAATCATGAACTAATAAGTCCCTGATCAATACTCAGCCTTTAAAAATGGTTCATGTGAAGAATTCTGCTGGCTAGATAATCATCTCAAAACTAGAGAGGCTACCTTCTTGGACTAGGCCACATAATGGAAATGTACTCTCTTCACCCTGAGTTTCTTGACTAAAAGAACCATATTGTTCCCTGAAAAAAAACAAAAACCCTCCCACATCACAACTAAACAGATTTTTTTTTTTAAAGATTTTATTTATTTATTTGACAGACAGAGACCACAAGTATGCAGAGAGGCAGGCAGAGAGAGAGAGGAGGAAGCAGGCTCACTGCTGATCAGAGAGCCCGATGCGGGGCTCGATTCCAGGACCCTGAGATCACGACCTGAGCCGAAGGCAGAGGCTTAACCCACTGAGCCACCCAGGCGCCCCCACAACTAAACAGATTTACTACTGTTTGACTCTGTTTCTCCTAGAAATATTACTTTTGTTTTTAATAAAGACAAGAAATAATAAGTATGACACTAGAAACCAAATTCACACACAAATATTCACTGAAATTACTTTGTAATTAAATCTAAATGTTTCCAAAAACTTATCTCCTTAAGACCAAGTATTGTACCTTAAAATACCTTGTGTCACTGAAGTCGACTAATTACTAAAGAATTCAACACCCTAAGCCATGTATCTTTTCTTTTCCAGACACATTGTCACTTATCAGCACAAGAAGGGGAGAAAACGCTAAGACTCTCATGTCACATTCATGTGGCAAACAGTATTTTAGTCATTCTGTTTTCTGGATCAATCTGCTACCACAGAAACTCATGTCTATCACTTCCAGAAGTTCAAATATTCACACAACTAATTTTAATTGAATGTGTGTACTACATAACAGACGTAGTACTCAGCACCGGGGCTATATGAGTAAGTAAGGCAGACAAGGTGCCTGCACTGCTGGCTGGAGCTCATATCTAGTAAGAAAACAAGCAAGTAAGCAAATAAGGCAATTCTAAATCACTCTAAAGGCTCTGGAGAAGATACAACAGGTTATTGTGACAAAGAACAGCTATAAAAAGTATACGGACAAGTTTAAGTAAGGCGGTAGGAAAGGACTTGGGGAAATATTTGAGCTGAAATGTAAAAGACAAGAACCGTATGTTAAACAACTTGCTCAGTGACCAAAAGGGAAATATGATAGAGGGGTAAGACAAGTGAACTGGGGCTAAATAACACATGACTCTAAGTCTGCTAACCCACGCCTTAAAATTACCCACAGAATTGTTCTTGTTCTCATTCCAATTAGGTTACTGTGTTCTTTGCCTCATATAAATAGGGCTGCATTACCTCATTTTGCCTTTAGGTGACACTAACACCATTACTCTTAGCCAAAAGAAAGCTTTACTCTCAGCTTCAAATTATACTTTAAAAAATTAATTACTTCCATCTTCATCAAAACTCACAATTTCCAATAATATCAAAACAAAGAATAATTATTTATTCTAGGATAGCATAACTAGCTAGCCATCATTGTTAGCCATGTGAATATCCTTCCTTTTAAATTTTAAATCCTTCAAGTCCTCTAAAGGTTTTTTTTATTTTGCAGGTAATGTTTCTGAAAATGCAGTATGTAATAGAGTCCATGTCTCTACCCTTCCAAGCGGTCTCATGAACCCTTGATTGCCAAGATGCTACAAAGTCCAGGTGTTCCTTCTGTGGCCAATCCTTCAAGCCCAAGCGGACACCCCTAGACTTAACATCTAAATGTTGGAAATTCCCCAAGTCCTGAGCCTTCTCCTGATTCCTTGCCACACACCCCCTCTAAGTAGTATCTCTCACTGCCATATATTTAAATACCATCTATTTTCTAGCAATCTCCAAATTTCTATTCCAACCCAAATGTCCTCTAAATTCCTTATCTGGAATCCAACTTTCCACTTTATATTTCCATTAGGAATTCTTATCAGTATCTTAAATGTGACCCAAATGGAATTCTTAACACCTCCTCTAAACTTGTTCCTCATTCAATTTCCCTTTCCAGTAAATAATACCACTTTCTAACAAAATGCTCAAATAAGAAATCTGGGTATCATTCTATCAGCTCTACTTCTTCATTCCTCACATCAGCAAGTCATGTTAGCCCCACAACCAAAATAAATCCCATATCTATCCCATTTCTTCATGGCCATTTTTACCAAACTAATCCAGGCAATGTTCTCATCTACTAAAAAAGTCTCCTAACCCATCTACTACCTCTAGTCCTCTCCTCCCCTAACCTACTCTTCTCAGAGATGCCAAAGAAATCTCATGGAAAATAAGTTATATTACATTAAAACTCCATTCTAAAATCTCTTCACTAAAATTCTAATAAAATCCAAACTACTTGCCAGGACTTACAAAGCCCAACACATCTCTGCCCCTGTCACTTTACCATTACAGCTCTTTAATTACAGAAAGTTGTTCCCCACTTTACGGTCTTAGCACTTGCCTCCTACTTTCATATGGCTGAATCTAACAGGTATCAGCTTTCATTCATCCATCCAACTCATATTTATGAGTCTCTACTATGTGCTAGAAACTACAATGGGAACTGGAGACTAAATGATAAATGAAACCAGTGCAGTCCCAATTTTCCTAGAGCTAACATTCTTAGAGAAGAGAGAAATAACACAGAAAAACAAAACATAAATCAGGATCCCATACTGGAATATATACTATAAAAGGTAATAAGAAGGTAGAAGGCAATATGGACTCAGCTGACATTTGGGCTTAATGAGTAAGCCATAGAAAAAACGGGGGTTGAGGGGGTGGCCTTCAAGTACAAGAAACAGCAAATACAAAAAGCCCCGGTATGAGAAAAGGCTTATGGGAAAGGAGGCCTTGATAGCTAGGTCAAAGAGAACATGGGTGAGAGCAGTAAAAGATGAGAAATGTTAAGAAAGGCAGGGAAGCCTGAGGCCACCCCTGATGCTAAAGCTATCTAAATAAACCCCCACCCTAATTCCAACTCTTTTGTTTATCTGGGAATATCAAGTGCCTAATATAGTAGACCTAGTACATTCACTGAATGTGTTAAACAAGTTGTTGTTAAAAGCACCAATCAGGCTAAAGTTTTCACAAATAACAAATGTAGAACCAGGATTCAAACCAGTATTCTGAATTCAAAGTACATGCTCTGAGCCACTACATATACCATCTCTTGAAGTTTCCTCACCTATTCCTAGACACTCAGGGCTGGTATCTGTAACTATGCACACAGAACTTTCTCCATGTCTCTCCTCCCTCCACCAAAAGTTATGTCTTCCCCACAAGACATTTTTCTTAGATAAGTGATAAACAGTTAACCTGGCCCTTAACTCTAAATCACCATGTTAATGAATACTAATAGTTGCTCAATTCAAATAAGATGTCCATTTTTAAGAGGTTTTATTTAGCCTAAGAGAATGTTAGATATTCTGCCAGGCTAACAAAAAGCTATCAGTTTACCAAACTGTGACCTCTTCAAAACACAGCCAGAATTTCTCCTTCTACTCAGAATTAAGACAGCTCTCATTACTAGCATCAAACCATGCCTCTAAGGCCTTAGGGATACTTTTAGAAGTTTGCCTAATACTACCTTATTGGGTTGAACATTTCTTTTAACTTCAATGCAAATGCTTACTAAATTTGCATACAAACATAAAATCTGAGAATACAAAGCCAACACTTTAAAATATTTCAACAGGCAGGTAATAATTTTTTTTTAAGATTTTATTTGTCAGAAAGAGTGCACGTGCACACGCACAAGCAAGAGGAACAGCAAGCAGACGGAGAAGCACACTCCCCACCAAGCAAGGAACCTGATTCGGGACTTTATCCCAGGACCCTGGGATCATGACCTGAGCCAACAACAGATATTTAACCTACTGAACCACCCAGGCATCCCGAAGTAATATTTAAATGGGGAAAGAACAGTCTTTAACAAATCATGCTGGGTAATCAGATATTTACATGCAAAAGAATGGAATTGAACCCTTACCTCACACCACACACAAAACTTAATTCAAAATGGACCACAGACCTAAATGTAAGAGCTAAAACTATAAAACTCTTAGAAGAAAACAGGTGTAAACTTTCATGCCCTTGGGTTAAGCAGTGATTTCTGAAATGACACCAAAAGCACAATGGCCAAAGAACAAAATAGGTAAACTGAACTATATTGAAATTTAAAATGTTTATGGCAAAAATGGTATCATGAAGGAAGTAAAACAGAACTACAGGATGAGAAAATACTTAACAAATCATATATCCGAAAAGGGTCTTGTACCCAGATAGTATAAGTAACTCTCACAACTCAATAATAAAAAGACAAATAATCCCAACTTTTAGTTTCAGCTAAAAAGCTTGGAAGTTATCACTCCCTTCCTTACAACAAGAAAAGTTTGAACAAACTATCAGTAGCTTTGATCCATCAGAAAACTGAGTTCATAAGACAGACTGCCATCCCAAAATCTGGAGAGACAGACAATCCAGAGAAAGATAGCAAGTCAGATCTCTTTACCTGAAGCAGAAACTGCTGGAGCCATAAACTGGTAGGACACTTAAATGGTAATTTTGACAAACTGCTAGAAGCTAAGTGAGGAATTTGGGTGTAGGATGGGAGAGTGGGTTAAAGAAGGGTAACTTGAAATGTTGTGTATATTAAATTGAGCTTAGTAATAACAAATTTCTAACATTCAAAAAGGAGAGAAACAGCTGTACTGATTTTTAAAAAAGCAGACTTCAGAACTAGGAACATTACTGCAGATAAAGAGGAGCTTTATATAATGATAAAGGGATCAATTCTCCAAGAGGATATAACAATCCCAAACAAGTAACCACTTAACAGCGTCAATATCTGTAAGGCAAAAACTGATAAAACTGAAAGGAGAAGGGTGCCTGGCTGGTTCAGTTGGTACAGCATGTGACTCCTCATCTTGGGGTTGTGAGTTCAAGCCCCATGTT